TGATATGATAGAACAACAACACACAGCAGTCATGGCCACCAGAGCACAAGTGCAACCTGACTCTGTATTCAAAACAGTCAGCTCAATCAGTTATAACGCACAGAGTTATGCACACACACACTAATAATTTCCCAAACACTTTGCATTTACGTTGCGTACAATAATTTATCAGGGGAAATGGTAGTAGTCTACTATTTGGTTGTGTTTATTTACTACGGTTTGTATGCACACATGTGGGATTATCAGTACTCTTTGTTGACTGAGTGTGTGTGAGAGTTTGTCTATCAGTGTGTGCATGTGTCAGAATGTGCAATGCTTCAAGAATGCTCAATAACACTGCCCTGCCAAATATCAGTTATGTAATTGGATCGTTTTCTTCAAGTCTGTTCCTGTGAACTGCTATTTCTTCACCTCCCTAAATCTCCATCATGCTTTCTTTTTTCTCTCCCCCCTGTGTCTCTCCCCCCCACTCCCTTGATATATAATACCCTTTCCCTCCCTTCCCCAGTTGTCTCTAGATTCTTCACATCCTCCTCTAATTCATTATTTTGCACAGCAGCTTTCCTCTCCATTCTCCCCTCTTCTTCTCTCCTCCTGCAGACACTTGTTATTCCTTTGCTTTCTGACACACACACACACACACCCCTTTCTTTTTCACACTCACACCCTCCCTCTTTACCTCTCTCTCTCTCTCTCTCTCTCTCTCTCTCTCTCTCTCTCTCTCTCTGTCTCTCCAGGGTACAGTCTGTGCTGACAGCCTGTTCCTCCTGAATTGATTTCTACCCAGAATGCAATAAAAGTCACTGAAGAAAGAAGAGGAGCAACTGAGTAACAACAGCTTGTCAATCAGTGTTGCTGATGTGAGTGTAATTTGGGTTGGGCTGTTCTATGTGCTCGTGCACACACACACACACACACACACACAAGATAAAAAGTTGACTTACATGTCTACACACCGAAGTGTGCGTAACATGTGAAAGCGATAAGGTTTGCTCACTGATGGTATTCAGTGTTCAAGTCGTATCCTCATCAGGCCAAATGGATTTCCTGCCACCTTGATGCTTTTTCTATAACTGCAAATCATTAGCTGGGCTGCCGTTTGATTGAAATCAATTGCTCATTTGATTGTACACAGCTGTTGTTTTTGCACAGATGTGATTATATGCAGATAGTTATGGAAACATGAAACTCGGTGACACATAAAGATATACACAGATTATAGAGCCGAGTCAGAGGGAGTCAAAAGTGATGGAGTGTTGTATTTCCTGCTTTGATTTTCTAGTTAAATAGAAAATATTCTCCCACACATTACTGGAAACACACATTTTTATAGCTCGATTTTAAATGTTTTTTCACAATATTAAATGTTCATGATTAAATAAGCAGCAAAGGTAGGAAAAAAAATCTGTTTAACGTGCCAAAATGTCAGCTAATCTGCTTCATCAGGACTGTGGGGGTGTGGTTTGAGTTCATTGACAAGCAGGCATCTCCACAACAGATTGTGAATGTAGTCTTTCTAAACTCTGATTGGTGTATGGGACTGTGTGACATCATCTTTTTCCAGCTGAGCCCCACTTCCTTTAGACGAGTAAGAAGAGAATTGTTGGGAGTAGCGTGATATAAAGTAACATGTTACTGTAATTCCACTTCTTTTATGGGCTGCTAATGTCACAAATTACATTTTCAGACTAAATGAAGCAATTGCAATTAGTGAAATGTGTACAGATTTGTTACTCATTACTTATGTCTTACCAGTAAATGGTGAAAAACAGCAGACAAGCGTAGCGCATCCAAGCATATCCACCTTGATTTTCTGTTTTAAGATCTAACGTCACCGATCTTACAGTGGCTCAAGACAGTTCAGTCTGGCCATCAAATAATTATTTATCAACTAACTACTGTAGCAGAGCTTGGTTAATGTTTACATCTGTGTGGTCATTCCTTCCCTCTTGTGGTCCAAGTACCATCAAAGGGCTGTGTACATTTATAAAATAACTGAAGCAGACATTTAAAAGTAACGCAAACGTTATAAAAGTAATAAGTAACTGTAACTAATTACTATTTTTTGGGAACTTGCCCAACACAGGAGAAGAGACACAAATAAAGAAATTAATTGTTTTCTAACTTTGGCAGAAATTTGTGTGTGCATGTCGGACCCTGCCACTTACAGTCAGCAGCATATTGAGTTTTCAAGGCCTTTAAAGACTAAATTTAACCAAATCACAAAATAAAAATGCTTATATGTAGTTTTGGTTTTATTTGTCCAAATTTGGAAAGCCCTACAATTTCTGCATTTACCTCATTTAATACAGGACATGGAATCTCAATTGTGGTGTTCCCTGTAAACAATACATTAAAAAGTGTCACCAGCAACATCCCAGTATCCCAGACCTCATGTACATCCACCTGTGAACAGTTTTCCCTGGGACTTTTACCAAATCAGTAGTCCCTGAGAAAATTGTGGATCATCCAAAGCAACAAGGATGCTGTTTTTGGAAAGAAATGATGTAATACTCTTGTATTTTTCAAACAAAAGTTTTTTTCAACTCTGAGAGGAACACACATTCCCATTCATCTCCATGTAGTGGAGGCAGGAAGGTGAAAGACAGTATCTCAAATTGCATCTTCATGGCTAGATACCACAAGAGGGGAGTGAGCATTTTTATTTTTATTTTTTTGTATTTTTGGTGAAAAAATAAGCACAGGATGAGGTGGAGGGTTAGAGAGAGAATTGTGTGTGTGCAGCTCAGTGTGTGATAGCTTGATGTAATGAGCATCTGGACTGAAAGGCAATCCTCTCCCTTAGCGTGTGTGTGGTTAGTGTGTCAGAAGGAGGTCAATACCATGCAGTGGGTAGCAGCTGTCACTTTTCCTCTCCAGTCTCCCAGATTACATGAAGTGAACCTGTGGCGGCCCAGACACACTGATGGGTGGGTCCCAGACTAGGTGTTCATTGATCAGTCTGGAAGGTCAGAGTCGGGTGGAGCGGGGGCAGTTGGAGGAATGACGTGAAGGGTGACCCAGCAAGAGGCAGGGGTCGGCCCTTGTCGTCTCTTCTCTCCACCTATGTTCCCGCCCATCACTCCTCACTCCAGATTCATCCCTTCTTTGGCTCTTCCTTTCCTTAGTGCCATAAATCATCCTTTTACACACATTATAAAAAGGATGTTATGTAAATATTAATATTCCTGTGAGAAGGAGGTTGTCATGTTTATATTTAATAAGTGAACAAAGCATATCTACATTTCTATGTGTATGATACTTCTCTTTTATAATCTGAATGACATGGCGAGAGCTAACATTTTAACACGTTTCTATGCTCAACTATTTCTCAACATCTGGTGTGAATCAATATGTAAATCAGATTAGTACATGCATACACACACACGCAGGTTTATTGAAGCAAACCTGCATTTCTTTGTTAATTTCCTTCTATATTTGGTGCACTGCTCTACTTTGTCTTTGCATAATAGGTGTGATTATATTTAGTATTCTGTATGGTAAAGTCATACCCTGCTGCGACAGCCCCATGGGGATCATAACAGCTTCATTTATTTTCATTTCAGCGACCACATTAATGGACATTATGTTATACCAAAGGCTACAGGGAAAGTGTGGAAGGAAAACAGTAACTGTTGTATGTCAGTGTTATAATTTTGGATTTTGGGAAAAAAAAAATTCTGACTGACTGAGCTGCCACATCTTTAATTGCTCTAAGATTGTGTGTAAGTTTGTGAAAAAGATTGGAGAAAGTTGAGAGCAGTGACAGTAATGATGATGGATGATGAAAAATTAATTAGTGCGCTTTAAAGGTGCTGGTAGCCAGATTTTCTTACCATCAGACTGTGCCAGGGTGGTTGTTTACAGCCTTTATGCTAAGATAATCCACTGGCTGTAGATTCATATATACCATACAAACATGAGAGTGGCATCAATCTTCTGATCTGAATTTCAGCAAGACAACAAATTAGCATATTTCTCAAAATGTTGACCTATATTAGTGTTTGAGGTCTGTGTCAGCCTCAGTGTGTTTTTAATTTAAGGTGCAGCACAGCCAGCACTACAATGTTATATATTAACATGCATAGTTCACATCAACACTATCACCTTCTCTATTCTGGGAGCAGATACCACTTAAATGGTACCTCATGAGTGATAAAGTTTCACTAATCCTGTCTCTTGCATGTCTGCACTGTATAGAAGAGGGAGACAGATCAGAGGTTCAGCGCACATCACAAGGTACCCCTCCTACTTTCATACAAACAAGACTCACTAATCCATAGGGGAATTACTGTAAATTAGCTATTTCCCTCTGAGCCCCACCGCAACACATCCATGCACGAATCTGCATGGATAGATTTTTCATAATCATATTTACATTTACATATCAATGAAATGTTGCCCTTAAACAGGAAAGTGCATATCTTTGTATGTATAAATGATTTAAAGAGCGGGGGAAGGGTGGCTAAACTCACTTAATCTACTTATTTAATGCAAAAAGATAATTTCTTTCCTATTCATTTTAAGGAGCAGGTCCTTGCACCCGTTCACTTTTGATGATTAATTCAAAGCGGGGAGGCAGATTAAGCATTTCAAAGTATGTAACAAGGCAGAAGACAGAGAGGAACGAGATAAAAGCGCCAAGAGGAAGAGGGATCAGGAGCAGGACGAGCTGAGAGACAGAAAGTGATACAGACGGGGGAAATTGAAAGATTGCTGCTTCTGTTTCTCCAGTCTGTTAGTTCTGTGTCTTTGTAGGCTCTCTCCTGGGAAACGGAGGATATAACCCTCCAAAGTCTCCCCGTTTTATGTAGGGTCAAGATCTTTTTGATCAGGGGTGACTGGGGATAAAAGCGCAAGAGGGGGGCAGGGGATGGGTGGGAGACAAGTAGGCAAGAGTACAACTGAGGAGAGAAGAATAGACGATGAGTGACAGAAGATGGGGTTTGAGGGAAAGAGCAGGGAGGGGAGAGGGGGGTGTCTGATGGTTTGATGGGAAGATGAGGTGGACAGACAAGGATTTCACGCTGTCTGCTTTGCCCGCTGTGCTGGAGGGGGAACTTCAGAGGAGCAGTTATAGGAAGGATGTTTCTCAATCGTCATCCACAAGAGCCAGTGTGCCAAAGTTTATTGCGGCATAGTTTCAACAAAAAGACAAGACTGAGAAGGTTTCATATGGCAAGAAACACAAATGTCAGCAGTTGTTGGTCTGTCTGTGTGTGTGTGTGTCGCTGGTGCTGCATGCAGCTGTCACACACACACGACAGTGGAAAGACACAGGCGTTGCTCTCCATATGACTGTCCTCAGAGGAGGCTCTACATCATAAGCGTCGATATTGAATGTACAGAGACTATCCAGCAATGCGTGGATGACATCCGGATACTGCAGCAGTATCTAGCTCCACATGAAATCAGTGCTGACCGTCGACACACACACACACACACACACACACACACACACACACACACACGCCAACACACCAGATGACATTTTGCTTGTATGCTTAGAAGAGCGCGCCCTCCTAATTAAACCCTTTGATGGCAGTGTGATGATTACACACAGGCGTGCTCATGCATTTGTTGGCAAGTATTCACGAGCGACCACAGCCAGACATGTGACAGCACGACAGCGACAGAATACACGAACGGTGGCGAGATATGTTTGCACGCATAAGTGAGCAGTTACAAAAGCGAGAACAGTGGCGAGTCTTAATGAAATTCAGTGCCATATAATATAACTCTCTGACTCTCGATAAGAGGCAAATTCTAGACTGGGTTCCCTCGTTCAGTTATGTGCCGT